TTATTTTTCACACTATGTAAACACTATGATGAGGTAATACACACAAATATTACAAGAAAAATGGATTTTATTACACTATACGTAAACCGTTAATATAGCTTTGTGAGAAACTATCTTCAAAGTGCTTACCTAAGTACCAAAAAAAGTCTTATGTTATAACCAGAGTCTCCTAGAGGGAGAACGTGACACTTGTGTATAGATCTATACAGGATTGACAATCTCGCATCTAAACTATTAGCTACAGTTAGACCGGCAGGTCTGAGGTGACAAATGTCGTACCCTTCTGACACCTGAAGAACGTCGTAACAGGCCATCAGTTACTAAGTATGGTTATAATAACTCACAATGGGTATTAACAATACGTTTGGTTTACATACATACCTTAATATGGTTTTATTTAGATAAAACTACGCTACACTATTATCTAGTACAAAAGTGTTTACATTGTTGGTAACATGTATTCAAAAGATTTTATTCAGATAACTTTACACTACACTAGTTTATAGTATAACTGGCAGTTCCAGATACATACATTAAAAGGATTCACACAGATACAACTACAGAAACATTATTTTCCAATACAATACAGTTTACATTTCTAGAAACATACATTCAAATAGTTTTATATATGAATAAAACTATATATTATTATTTTAAGTACGGAAAATACTTGTACAATTCAGTCTTGGAACATTTAAGACTACATTACGTATAAAAGAAAATATTGGATTTTTCTTGAAGAACACACTATCATTTTCAAGGAACAAAGATACATATTTCTCATATAAAATGTTTATGAACTCACTAACTTAATTGTTGACACTTTCTCAAAACTACTTGTATGATCAGGGAATCATTAAGACAGGTAGCAACAAGCTTTTGAAGATGAGATGCTAAATCATCAGTCAAGTCATATATCATCATATTCTAATTGATTTTTGAAACATGTAACACATACAAACCATGTAACTTTATCAATTATGTTTATGATGGTTATGTTTGCTTTGATATATATTATTCAATTGTTATGATACCGTACATGACGTCATCCTCCCCCAGACGTTCCGCCGTCTCATCAGTTTGGGGTTGTGACAGATTTCGGTTATACAATCCGTGGGAAAATATAATTATTATAAGTGCCTAAATAATTTATGATGAATAAGACATGGCAATGGAGTAATGCAACCGAAAATCAAGTTGGAAATGGATCGGGTACAATCACGGTTTTTTGGAGCAATGAACAAGAAGCCCAATTTAATGGTGGTTCGAGCCCAACTACAACTGAAAGCGAACGGCCGACCAATTAGGCCAAAACCGACCAAACTTATGGCACTTCTCACGATGACAACAACCCCTCGCAACCTAGTGATGCTAATAATGATGCAGAGTCTGTCCTACTTTGACAGTCCACTCGAACTTCAGTGTTGCCAAGAAGATTAAATGAATACGAGCTAAGTGTATATCATTCAATGTTGACATTCGATGAAGAACCAAAGAATTTTATGGATGCCAAAGTGAACAAGAATGGCTCGAAGCAATGAAGGCCGAAATTGATTCCATCGAGAAGAACAACACGTGGAAATTAGTTCCTCCACCTAAAGATGTTAAACCTATCGAGTTAAGATGGTTGTATGAAATTAAAAGAAATGCGAGTGGGTCAATCACAAGGTACAAAACGCGTCTAGTAGCTAAAGGCTATGTACAAGAGCCATATAATTATTTTGATGAAGTATCCGCGATGGTAGCTCGACTCAAGACAATAAGACTATTGATTGCTCTCACAACCGGGAATGGATGGAAGATTTATCACTTAGACATAAAAACAGAAGTCTTATATGGTGACCTAAAAGAAGAAGTTTACGTTAGCCAACCGAAAGGTTTCATTAAGCAAGGGGAAGAAACAAAAGTCTACAAATTGGCAAAAGTTTTATATGGTCTTCGACAATCTCCAAGAGCTTAGAATTTGAAGCTCAATAATACGTTGAAAAGTATGGGTTTTCAATGATGCATGCAAAAAATACGGTTTATAGAAAGGTTTCAAATGGAGAATATATAATTATTGCGGTTTATGTAGATGATTTATTCATAACGGGAACAAGTCTAGAGTTCATAAACTAATTCAATCAATTTATGGCATTGCAATTTGAGATGTCAAACCTTAGTGAACTAACTTTCTACTTGGTTATTGAAGTATTGCAAGAAAACGGTTGTGTAAAGGTAAAGTAAGAGAGTTATGTCATGAAAAATCTGAAAGAAGCTGGTATGGAAGACAATAATTCAACTCAATTTCCTATGGAGCCAGGACTAAAATTGTCTAAAGTTGAAGATGAGCCTGAAGTTGAAGCTACCCATTATCGAAAACTAGAGGGTTGCTTACTATATCTCTTACACACTTGTCCCGATTTAGCATATTTAGCTGGAGTAGTTAGTCGTTATATGCAAAGTCCAAGAGATTCCCATGCACATGCTATTAAGGAAATTCTTCGTTACTTGTGTGGTACAACATATTTTGGGATAATATATAAACAAAGTAAAAATATGAGCTTGTTAGGTTACTGTGATAACAATCATAATGTTGATGTTGACGATGGAAGAAATACAACAAGACATGTTTTCTACCTTGGTGACTCACTTATCACTTGGTTCTCCTAGAAGCAAGATATAATAGCTTTGTCCTCAAGTGAAGCTGAGTTCATGGCAACTACTGTAATTGTGTGTCAGGTAGTTTGGTTAAGGGAGTTGTTAGCTGAGTTGAAAGGAATGAAGAAATAGAAGGTGTTGATTCACATAGACTACAAATTAACAATTACACTGTCAAAGAATCGTGTATTTCATGAAAGAAGCAAACACATGCACACTCGATTCCACTTCATTCGAGAGCATGTTGAAAATGGTCAAGTGACGGTTGAACATATTTCGGGGGACAAGCAACGACCAACTCCATTAACGAAGGCCTTAGCTCGGATAAGGTTCATAAAAATGAGATCGTTACCTGGCATGCAAGAATTATCCTTGACTCATAAATTTAGGTGGTGATTGTTGGCGAATTATCTAAGATCGGTGTGCTGGAAGGCGTGTCTTGGTCCAGAAGTCGATGGTTTGGAGTGGTGTCCAAGTAACTTGGAATGTTGTCCAAGTTATTCTAGATTCCTAGTATTTCCTTCAGCAATAATGAATGCAGTACAAATGAAAGTTTGAGGTGTTTACAAGTTTGTTACCTAGTTATATACTAATGTGTCTAGATTGGTGTTTGTATGTGTGTGTGTTTATATATATATATATATATATATATATATATATATATTATATATATATATATATATATATATATATATATATGTTTCGTTGGATCCTATGAACACAAGTAGATTGGAATTTTGTATTAGTTTCTTCAATAATAAAAGTGGTGCGAGTTTATGCAACTTACTTTTCTGTTATATACTTTCTATTAACTTTACAAAAGGCTTTGGAGTGAATGTAAAATTGGATAATTGTGAACTAAATCGAGGATTAGGTGTGGTTTCAATTCTTCTTATATAGGTTCACAAATGACAATTTCAAGAGCTCTAGTACGGCATTTTGAAAGAAAGTGAAACGTTGATTTAATTTTCAATGGGGTGTGGCTTTATCGGTCAACAAAATGTATTGGAACATGAAGGTAGAAAGCCATAACCATGGAAGCCAAATCAACTTTATTGGGTGTGATTTTCTTTAAGATATAGATTTTATTGGGGGTGACAAGGCAGTATGAAACTGGTTATAAGTGTAAAAAAAAAAAAAAAAAAAAAAAAAAACCCTTCTATGGGAAACCCTCTTCTCGACATATCAGCCATAGTTGACCAATATTTCCTAACAAAGTACATATATCGCTCTACAACTTTCTATTATTTTGCTCACAGAACTTTAAATAAGCTTCTAATTTGATCGGTTTCGCTAGGGGTGTCAATTTATGACACGGCACGACAAAAATACATGACACGAAAAGAAATTGGGACGAAATCAAAATTCGAATTCGTTTTCGTGTCAAGTATAAAAACATGATGTCGTATTCGTGTTTACAAATCCACACGAAATTGACACGATTGAGCATGTGTTTGTCGTGTTTGTCGTTTTTATCGTGTTATATATGATTAAATATGAATTAAATAAAATAACAGTTATGTAATATTATATTTATCGTGTCGTGTTGTCGTTTTTTAATTGGTTCGTTTTCGTGTTAGTGAAAAAAAACACGATATCGTATCGTGTTCGTGTTACAAAAAACATTATCGTATTGTGTCGTGTCAGACAAAAACACGACACACCGACCCGATTTGATAGGCCTAGGTTTCGCTAGTAGTGAGGTTTTTCATGTTGTTTCTTCCGATTTTCAATTCTAAAAATTTAGGGTTCTTCACTTGCTTTTAGTAATCAAGCAGCTACACAGCTAAGATACGAAATTATGGAATTTTCTGTAGGTGAATCCAAATAAGATTGAAATCAACCTTATGAAACATCTCCAATTCTCACATAAACGCGATTGATGAAGATATGGACAATTCCAATGCATATGAATTCGATTCATCAACCTTGCTAATTGTCTGTTTCTTTGAAATTTCAGATATGGCCTGATTCCAAACAATGCTATCCTTGCCAAAGACAAGCACTTGCCTATGTGAGACGACGATTCTTATTATTAAGCATTTTACATTTTTCGTTGAATGTTAATAGTGATAAGCTATTCAATCAATAATCACTTCTAACTCCTTCAATATATTCAATTCATCATACATTATATTTTCTTAACTATTTAGATCATAACTCCATGTCACAAATTTTGTACTATTTTCGAGTAATGTTTTTTTTTAAAGCGAGAATTCGGTTCCAATGTTGAAGAAAGACAACAGAACAAGCACCACATATCTCCGTAACTAAAGTTGAAACGTTGAGGAAAGGGGGTAAATAAGACAATTCACATAATACCAATTCCTAGAAAACCCTAACTCCATCTATCTCTCTCCCTACAAACACCGGGAAAACCCTAAAAACGAATCAAATCAGATCAAATCAATATCGTTTTTGGTACCAGAAGTAGTAGCATAACCTTGAAGAGCATCACCAGTGAGTCTACAAACCCTCCATTCCTGCATAACAGTAGCTCCCATTTCCTCGTAGAACTTTATCGCATTCATATTCCAATCCAGCACAACCCACTCCACCCTCCCGTACCCCATCGCCACCGCCTGTCTAGCCACCGCCGACAAAAGCATCTTCCCCAATCCCTTCCTCCGATAACTCTCCCTCACGAACAGATCTTCTATGTAGAACCCTGGTTTCGCCAGAAACGACGAGTAATTAGGGAAGAACAGAACGAATCCAGCTACGATCACTCCTTCCTCCATCGTCGATGACTTGAAGACTTCCAATTCGGGATCGGAGATCGGGTAGTCAAGATTTAGGGTTTTGTGCGTTGGTGTGAATTTGGGGTGGTGGGCGACGGAGGAGGAAGGAAACGGTTTTGTGGAAGCTTCGATGAGGAATACGGTGAAGGATTCGAAGGGGTTATCTTTCGAGAAGAGAGTGGTGGAGAGGGAGGATTCGGTGGCGGAGCATAGGTCGGTGAGGCGTTCGAATACTGCCATTTGGTAGATCATTTTGTGGATAACCGGGACGTCGAGTCTAGTTGCGAGGCGGATCCTGGTGAAGAGTGGGTGGCTAGTCGGGAGATCCATGTTGAGCTCGGGGGTGGTGGTTGGGAGTGGTGGTGGTGCTGCGGCGGCCATTTTTCTCTCAGTTGGTTAACGTCGGCGGTTTTCTACGTTTCTCAATAATCAGCGGCGTTTGGATAGGGGTCGAGAGTGTGTGGTCCTATATAACGTCATGGGGAAGATGGTGCCGAGATACAAGGGTAGTTTTGTCTTTTTCTTCTTTTAAACCATTTAAAAGATATTCATTTAAAACAAAAATTAAAAGTTCAAAAATTCAAATTTGACATATAATTTTAGCATATAAAATAAAGCAACTTATCAACACTTTTATTTTTACTTTTGTCTGTCCATGTGTACTTTGAGAAACGTACTTTGAGATACGAATTAAAGTTTTTACTTGTAAATTTATTGGAAAATAACAAATAAAAAGAAATAATAATTATAAGTTTTGCCGGTTTAAGAATGATCATCTCATCTCCAATTTGTTGGTTTAAAAAATTATCATTATCAGGAAAATATATTTAAGTCACCCAACTTTAACATATTTTTACTATTTAACTGCCATAATAAAAAATTCGTATTTTTTTTTTTTTGTTTGCTAAAGGCGTTATAAAAAAAATATAAGAAATTAAATATTTTTTATATTTTATTCATATTCATCTCTCCACCATATCATTTCAAATGATGATCTACCGATTAAAATATTATTAATTTGTTATTAAATATTATATATGATAATATTGGATATGGTAAAAAGATAAATTGAAATAAAATATAAAAAGATATATTAATTTCTCATATATATATATATATATATATATATATATATATATATATATATAGTGAGAGAGAAAGAGAGAGAGGATCGGGTGAGTATTCTTTTTTTGGTGAAGATTCGTGAAACCCTAAATTCTCATATGTAGAGTTCCTTTTTTTGGTGAAGATTCGTGAAACCCTAAATTCTCATATGTAGAGTTCCTGACTTTATAAGTTATTTATTTAAGACAAAACTTCAAAAATGGTTCCTGTGGTTTTCAAAAATATCAAGTTTAATCCTTAAGTTCAAAAAACATCACAGATGGTCCTTGTGGTTTCAAAATTTTAACATTTGATCATTCCGGCTAACTCCGTTACCATTTAGCCGTTAAATCAGGAGCATTTTTGGTATTTCACTCCACATGGATCATTTATGAGGTTTTCAGTTACTTTTTTTAAATAAATAAATAAATAAAATTTAATATGCAAGGGTCCAACCTCTCTCTCTCTCTCTCTCTCTCTGATATAATACCATACTCGATTTTATGATTTTTTTTTTTAATTTTTTAAGGTACTTTCATGAATCTTCACCGAAAAAAGAATACTCACCCGATCCTCTCTCTCTCTCTCTCTCACTATATATATATATATATATATATATATATATATATATATATATATATATATATCAAGGTTGTAAAAAACGCTCGGCGTTAACTAGTCGGTGGACTGGGGTCAAGCGATTAATCGGCTAGGCGGAGATTAATCGGGTACCATTAATTGCTAATTTGTTGAATTTTAAAAAATTAAATATGACTAATATCATATCAAATTTCATAAATACTACTAATATGATAATAAAATAGGTTAATATGATTAATACAACACTAATCATGCCTCAAATAGTTTCCATAGAGATAAAATTTCTTCAAAATGTTAAAATTTCATCATTTTCTAATGTTTCCCTCATTATATATGCAGGGATTAATCGCTAGGCGCCCTCTAATCGGTCGAGGAGCGCCTAGGGATTAATCGGAGATTAATCGGGACCTAGTCGGGATTTTTACAACAGTGATATATATATATATACACACACACACACACATTAGTTGATATCTAATTGCCATATAAAAAGCATTGCTTGATCCATAAGCAAATTTCGATTTGCTTAAACCCTAAACAACTTCTTATGTTTCATTTTTGCACAATGGATGTCCCTCCTATACCTCTTCGTGTAAGGCAAGTATAACTGGAAATAAGCCAACATTAACTTTGTTTTTTAGACACCTCTTTGTGTAAGGCGAGTAAAACTGGAAATAAGCCAACATTAACTTTGTTTTTTAGAGTGAAAGTTTGCTCTTATTCATGTTTATAACATATTAACTACGTATATTGGTAAGGATTTATATTTGCCTACTAAACCTTTCCAAAATTTTGTAACAAATATTTATACAAAAAGGTTATTCTTTTAGCAACCATTATAATAAAGAGAAATTACAAGAGTTCTCAATGGAAAACATAAAGACTACAAAGAATAAAGCGGTATAGAAATACTAGCTAGACAAAAAACCTAATGGGCTAAAGACTAAATGGCCCATAAACAAGTGGTCTAATAATATATAGGCTAACATCCCCCTATCAAACTCACAATGTCGCAACAATAAGCATTGAGAGTTTGTCACATAAGGACTGAAATCGAGAAGTCGATAGAGCCTTCGTAAAAATATCCACAAACTGCAAGGTTGATGAAACAAACAGAAGCGATATAGTCCCGAGCTGCAGGTAATGACGGGTAAAATGACAATCAATCTTAATGTGCTTTGTCCGCTCATAAAAAAAACAAAAGAATTCTTTGCTATTTGTATCGCACTTTTGTTATCACAATACAAGGGGGTAGGTGAAGAAATATGAACTCCCATATCCGCAAGCAGCCACCTTAACCAGATAATCTCACATGTAGTTATAGTCATAGCACGATATTTAGCCTCCGTGAAAGATCTAAAGACAACGTCTTGTTTCTTGCTCTTCCATAAAATGAGAGACTCTCCAAGAAATACGCAAAATCCAATGGTGGACTTACGATCATGGCGATCACCATCCCAATTAGCATCACTATAGGCACGTAACTCAAGAGAAGACGTCAAGGGAAACAAGAGAGTCTGAAACTGAGTGCCACGAAGATATTTTAGAATATGTAGAACAACTCCCCAATGAACAGAGGTAGGGGGAGTACCAAACTGACTAACAACATGAAAAAAGTGAGCAATATCTGGACGAGTAACTGTGAGATAGACCAAACTTCCCACAACATTGTGATAAAGGTTCGGATCGGACAAAGGAACACCATCAGTAAGAGAGTATCGTGCATTGGTTTCAAGAGCAGTGTCAACAGTCCGATTGGCAAAGATGTCCGACCGTATAAACAAGTCAAACATATATTTAGTCTGAGAAAGAAGATACACTCTCTTTGAATGAGCTACCTTAATACCCAATAAATAATGCAGCAAGTGCAAATCCTTCATAGCAAATCGATGAGATAGATCATGCTTTAAAAACTCAATACCACCATGGTCATTGCCCGTAATAATCATGTCATCCACATATAAGGACAGAAGAATCCGTCCTGCACTCCATTTGAAAAATCTTGCGCTGTCGAATGGATGCAATTGTAATCATAGTACAGACTGTTGTCATCTTTGCAACTGGGGCAAATGTCTCCTTGTAGTCAAAACCATACTGTTGGGAATAACCTTTTGCTACAAGTCTGGCCTTGTACCGTTCAACAGACCCATCAGCTTTTGTTTTTATCTTGTACACCCAACGACAACCTATCGTATGTTTCCCAGGAGGAAGGGAAACCACATCCCATTTATGAGACTGATGAAGAGCAGTGAGTTCCTCAGCCATAGCATTTTTTTTAAAAAGCATCTAAAACAACTTCTCTATATGATTCAGGTTTAGATAGATGATGGATACTCACTATAAATGAAGCAAATGGTCCTGAATATGTAGAGTAAGGCTATGTTTGGCGTACTAGCTGAAAAGTTGGCTGATAGTAGAAAAACTAATTGTTAAATAAAAAACTAGTTGATAGCTGAAAAGCTAGCTGATAAAAAACGACGTTTGGTAAAATTAGCTGAAAAGCTAGCTGAAATATATAAAATTACATAAAAGGACATGTGAGAGTATGTGTTTCTATAATTAATTAAGGGGTGTATTTGGAAATTTTTAAAAAAAGCTCCTAAAAAGCTAGTCTAAGTAGGTTTTCAAAAAACTAGCTTATAAGCTACTTTTTGGCATACCAAACACGACAACATAAAAAAGCTCGAAAAATAAGTTAGCTTATCAGCTAGCTGTGGCGCGCCAAACACAGCCTAAGTAAAATCTGGAAGCTTGGTGGACTTGACAGGACGAGTAGATCTCCTGAGGAGTGGTGGTGGAGGTAAAATCCTCAATTTCAACAATCGGAGCAGGCTCAGGAATAGGGGGAGTCAAGGAACTCTCTGAAGAATTGGGTGTGTCATGAGCTGAAGAATCAGGTGGCATAGATGGGTCTCGACCCTCTATCTCTTCATTAAAAGGATCAATATGCAAAAGATCGGACTTCGTTACAATGTGGGTTGTAGCAGGAATCAAGTAGAAATGAATATGTTCCAAAAAGGTGACATGCCGGTAAACATATAACTTTTGAATCATAGGATCAAAGCAATGGTATCCTTTCTGTCCAATACCATACCCCAAAAATACACAAATAGCAGATTTCGGCCCCGACTTGTTCCTCTCAACATGAGGACGAAGAACAAATCAAGTAGATCCAAAAACTCGTAAGGAAGAGTAGTCTGGTAAATGGACATATAGCTTCTTAAAAGGAGACATTCATGAATTCAATGAAGTAAGGATACGATTAATCACATACACAACAGTTAGGACTACTTGTCACACTCCCGAACCAGACGGCGGAAACGTCTGGGGGCTTGTGCGTGACTTCATCTTGAAATATAATTACAATGAATATAAATGAAACACAACATCATCATTACCATGCATAAAATAATACAACTACCATTGTTTACACCAAGTACAATATTTTAAGTTACATGACCAAAGCGTTAAAAGTACGGTGATAACAAAAAACAATAAATTTCCCATTCTCTGCTGACCTTCCACTTATCGATTCCCTGATAATGCAAGTTAATTTGAAAACTTCAACATATATAATGTTGGTAAGTTCATAAGCATGTTTGAATAAATGTTTTTACATGGTTGGTAAAACACCAGAAAATCCGATATTTTCTGTAAAATGGTATGAATGTAATGTG